TAATCATGTTTTGGGTGTACTATTCCTTTAAGTTTTCTATTCTACACAGTCCACAAATAACACCAATCACTTAAAAATGCTTTATTTTAGGATGTGTGAGAATTCTGGGAGTTTTGTTGACATTCTGGTTAAGTTGCTTTAGGTAGCAGACAGATAATAAAGATAAAGATTTTAAGATTCAGCTTGATTCAGTAGGAATATATAAAAAATCTATTAAAATTACTGCATCTTTGTTATTAGTTTGGATCACTGACCAATTTGCCAATTATATTCAAGAATCAGGTCAGATTCAATTACAGATGTTACTCTTCTTAATTTGTGGGACTTTATATTCATATAGTAAAAGGGTTTTCATTTTGGCTGATTGGTTCAGCACCACAGACAGTTCCAGATCAGCAGGAGCAGATTTAAATACAGATCTAGGAGCCAGGGGTGGAAGATGGGAAAACCTTTACCCCATGGTGAAGTGCTGAGCCCCATGAGGCGAATGGAGAAAAAAAAATACATAAATATATTCCAAAATGTATTTTTTATTTATTTTTTTTACCTTCAAAAAACACAATGCTTTAACCAGCTTGACTGCAGTTATAAGCACAGGGGCTTCTACCAATGGCTGATTTGATGTGTTTATAATTTTGTCTTAATTCTAAATAAAAATCTTTAAACCTCCCCTCAGGTGGATGTCCTCCATTGCTTTGGCTGCTTTGTGCATCTCAGAATCAAAAAGTATTTTTAACGCATTAAGGATGTTGCAGGATCTAACAATCCTGTACTTAAGACACTGGTTCAGGAATCCCTGACAGAATACAAAAATACAGCAGGTCCACCACTGATGCTTTCTCCTTTCAAATAATACAATTTTCTTAATCATTTTATGCTATTTTATTCAATTTTATACCATTATACCATACCATTTTTGTCTATTCTTAATATTTGGCATGTTGCAAGAAATTCTAGCATTTTTTGTTATCTTCATTATAACCTTTCACAATTTGTTTATTTCACATAATACATTTCCAAATGTATTTATATCAACCGTATGTTTGCCAATGTGTAGCAGCTTATCACCAAAGCACATTCCCTCTACCTGTTAAACACTACTTGGCAATAAAGCTGTTTTCCATTCTGGCTCTTTTTAAGGGTGTAATTATAATTAACAGTGTATTTTACAATTGAAAGTAGAAGATATTGGATAGAAAAAAAGCTAAAAAAAAACTAAAAAAAACAAAGCTTCAGTCTGAAGTAAACAAATCCCAAAACGTTCAGAATGCCTGGAGAAAAACAGATGGAGACCATTTCGAAGAATTGTAAAAAGGGCTTGAAGAGAAAATCAACAGAAAACCTGGTTTATATGAAAATCTTCATAGAATGCTGTAAATGCAGATAGATTCCTTTTTTAAATGACTGACGGCTAATTTTTAAAACAAAATTTAAAAATTTAAATCTAATTTTGAAATCATTTGTAAAGAAAAGGTTTTATATGTCAGGTAGTTTCCAAAAAAGGTGGAAAGTTTGTATGTAATTCTTACAACAAAAATAAGGCTGTTTATGGTCAGTTTTCATGCATACATGGAAGCCTGGGAAATAAAAGTCAACACGAGTTGGAATTGAAACAAGAGTCTGCACTATTTTTATTGACTCTCCTCTAAGCCCAATGCGTACAGGAGAGATGTTAGGTGAAGGCTGTAATCTCCTCAAATTGACCAATTAAAGCTTCTTAAATTGCGATAGTAGGATTCGGATAAAGAACGGCTTTGATGGCCTTGATTGTGGAAAGAAAAGCAAAAAGATTTTCACTGCTTATCAGGAGATTGGGCTTCTGAAACCTATTTAATGGATTTTCCCAATATTGTCTTGTGACTTTGGTGTTTCAATATTGGCACAGTTGGATAAGGATGAGCAAGGAGGGGTTTGAGGTTTGGTCACACTGCAGGCACCTTAGGACCAGTGGTGAAAGGTTTATTAAGGGGCTGGGAATGGGAGAGTTAAACTCTCTAACTATCAGAACCGTATGGTTTCAAAGGAGGGTGGAGATAGGGGCAAGTTCCCACCTGGCAACACTTTGTTGTGATCTGATGAGGAAAAGAAACGATAAGCAAGCAGACAACACAGAAAAAAATCACCAGCATAGAAAAAACTAAATAAACACTTAAAGCAGAGATTAAACAGGCGCAAAGACGTTATTAACCTTAGACAGATAAAAGACATGAAAAGAGACCACTTGTTGCAATTAAATGAAGAAGCATAAAAAGGCAACAGACAGGTCTAATAAAATCTCATCTAAAAGGAATGAATTAAATTCACAAACCAAGGCTGGATAAAAGACACTGATGATGATCATTTGGTTTGTTACTGCTCTCACATTGCAAGGACTCAACATTAAATCGCAATATTCATTATTTTAGTCTCTCATCTGACTGCATTCTTCTTATTATTTTTTAAACACTGACTGCCCATAACCAGCCTCATACAGCTAGCATGATGGTTCCCTGCCACTCTGACACCGATCATGAACTAATTACTTGGCAGCTCATCTGAAATGATCTTCTGTGCCTCTAAAGACACTCAAAACACCAACGAAGCATCTAACAAAGCTCAAATATATTAACCTGGGTGCCATTCCCAACTTAGTCCCGCCCACAACGTTTGAGGTCGGCAAGTTCGGTCTGGCATTGCTCACTAGTAGCGCGACTATG